ACAACATCCGGAGAGCTCTCTTGATCACCTCGGGATTGGAGAGCATATAAGCGATTCTTCTTAGGAGCATCGGGATTTGGGACACTTGCTTGTGCTTGAGCATTTTCCCTTCCTTGAGCCTTTAGAATAGGGCAGTACCTCCTCATGTGGCCGCTCTTACCATAACCATAGCAATTACCCATGCCAACTAGGCACTTGCCTTCATGTTTTCGACCACACTTCGTACAAATAAGCTTCTCAACATAAGGATCACAACCTCTTGCTTCTTGAGGCTTGGGGGTAGACACTTTACCTTTGTTGACCCTTGGAGTGTTAGGAGGACCTTGGTTGGAAAACCTCTTTCTGAACTTTGGCTTATCTTTGATTTCAAACCTGACCTTAGAAGAATTTCCATCATCGGTCCTTGACCTCTTCAATTCTCTACCAACTTGCTTAAGCTTTTCCTCCTCAATTTGCTCGGCATGAACCATAAGGCGAGAAATGTCCATGCTTGGGATTAGCATAGCCGACCTACATTCATTCACCACAAGATCGGACACACCCATAACAAATTTGTTCATTGTAGCTCTAGATTCCGACACCAAAGTAGGAGCATGCTTGGACAATTGAGTGAACTTGAGGCCATATTCCTTCACACTCATACCCCCTTGATGGAGGTTGATGAATTCTTGCATTTTCCTCTCCCTTAGTTCCAAGGGGAAAAACCTATCAAGAAAAGTCATCTTGAATGTAGCCCAACTTATCAAACCCTCACTAATAGGTCTCCCCTCCTTCCATTGTTCATACCACACTTGTGCCACATCTTTGAGTTGATAGGCGGCTAACTCCGCCTTTTCTTGAGAAGACACACCCATAGCCTCTAGAAAGTAGGGGGATTCATCCTTGTGAAATCCCTTATCCTAGAAGCGGTAGTGCTAGCATTGGGGTTCACTTGCACCCTAGCATCCCTTGCAACTTGAGTGGCCAACACTTGAGTCAAATTATGAATAGCCGACCTTATCTCAACATTAGACATAGCCCCTTCTTCAATAGGAACTTAAGGGTTTTGAGGAGCTTGAGGAGGAACCGCCTCATTCACATTCTCCTCACCGGCCCTCCTTGCGTTGTTCCTTCTTGTATTCATTGCCTATAGACACAAGAGAAGGATTAGAAGAAAAGGACTAGATAGAGTTAAGACTCTTAGGCACGACTATGGAATAACAAAAGAGTGAAAGTTCCTAAGCATCTCGTAGCCTCTCATTCATAAGTATGGCACGCTTCACACCCATGAACAAGACTATACTCGACATGGTGTCTTGAGACATAAATCCTACATTATTCTCAACCTTATGCTCTGATACCAAGTTTGTAACGACCCTAGCGTACCCCCTAGTCGTTACAAGCGTATTTGACCTCGAAGATGTCTTATACAAGCCCTTAGCATTCGTCATAGCATGTATCATAGAATAAAAACACGGAATTTGGAAGTTCAACTTCACTTCATATATAAAAATAGAATCTAACTTCGTCACAATGCACCATCTAGACATAGAAGTATCGAAAATGGGACTTAGCCCTTACATCAATAAAAAGTCTTGAAAATAGTAAGTACAACAATGTCTTTCAACATAAGCAAAGAACTAAACATAGAAGCTAGATCATAGGGTCTTGTCCTCGGACTTGAGGACTCACCAACTTGGGAAAGCAGCTCCAAGTGTCTTGAGAAGTAAGCTTGAATCCTCAATGGCCCGAACCTAAATGTTTGGGGAAAAGGGAGAAAATATGGGTTAGTACAACACACGTACTAAGTATGGCATTATGGAGTTTGAGGGTAGTTGGGACAAACACTTGGCTTTGATAGAATTTGCTTAC